TAGTAGTCATCAGGAGCAATCAATATCTAGTAGTCAGAGGTCAGTAGTAAGTAGACAGTGGCCAGTTGTCAATAGTCAAAATTATGTAATGGCAAGTGGTCAATAGTCATTCGTCATTCGTCATTGGTCAAATGTCAGTGGTCAGAGGTAAATAGTCGACAGTCAGTCAAAGGTCAATAGGCAGTAGTTAGAAGTAACAGGTCAGTGCTAGTCGTAGGTAGTCATTGGTTATGTCAGTGGTTTGTAGTAAATGGTCGCTGGCCAGTGGACAAAAGTCAAAGGTCAGGGCTCAAGAGTTAGACGTCAAAGGTCAGAACCAGTGGTCATTCGTCAAAGTCAGAGATCAGAGGTCAAAGGTCAGAGGTCAGAGGTCATTGGTCATTCGTAAAATGTCAGAGGTCAGGGATCAGAGGTCAGTGGTCAGGGGTCACAGGTCAGAGGTCAGTCATCAAATGTCAGTAGTCTGAGGTCAGAGTTCCTAGGAGAGTGGCCAAAAGTCCATGCCCAGGAATCAGTGGTCAGTAGCCAGTGGTCAATACTCAGTAGTCATCAGCAGCATTCAATAGTCAATGGTATGATGTCAGTAGTCAGTAGTCAGTGGTCCGTGATATATTGGCAGTGGTCAGACGGCAATGCCAGATGTCAATGGTCAGTATTGAGTAGTCAGTAGTCAGTAGTCAACAGTCAGCGGCAGAGGTCAGTATACAGTAGTCAGTTGGCAGATGTCAGTGGGCAGCGGTCAGTAGACAGTAGTCAGTGGGCGGATGTCAATGGTCAGAAGTCAGTGGCAAGAGGTCAGTGGGCAGATGTTTGTAGGAAGTGGGCGGATGTCAATAGTCAGTAGACAGTAGTCAGTGGCATGATGTCAGTGGGAAGTGGACGGATGTCAATGGTCACAGGTCAATCGTCAGTGGAAAGTGGGCAGGCGTCAATGCTCAGTAGTGAGAAGGCATTAGACAGTGGGTGGATGTCAATGCTCAGTAGACAGTAGGCATTGGAGTGTAGGCAGGCGTCAATGCTAAGTGGTCAGTAGGCATTGGACAGTGGGTAGATGTCAATGCTCAGTAGTCAGTAGACATTGGACAGTGGATGGATGTCAATGATCAGTAGTCAGTAGGCATTGGACAGTGGGCGGATGTCAATGATCAGTTGTCAGTAGGCATTGGACAGTGGGTGGATGTCAATGCAAATAAGCAGTAGGCATTGGACAGTGAGTAGATGTCAATGCTCAGTAGTCAGGAGGCATTGTACAGTGGGTAGATGTCAATGATCAGTAGTCAGGAGGCATTGGACAGTGGGTGGATGTCAATGCAAAGTAGTCAGTAGGCATTGGAAAGTGAGTAGATGTCAATGTTCAGTAGTCAGTAGGTATTGGACAGTGGGTGGATGTCAATGCAAAGTAGTCAGTAGCCATTTGACAGTGGGTAGAGGTCAATGCTCAGTAGTCAGTAGGCAATGGATAGTTGGTGGATGTCAATGATCAGTAGTCAGTAGGCATTGGACAGTGGGTAGATGTCAATGCTCAGTTGTCAGGAGGCATTGGACAGTGGGTAGATGTCAATGCTCAGTAGTCGGGAGGCATTGGACAGTGGGTAGATGTCAATGCTCAGAAGTCAATATGCATTGGACAGTGGGTAGATGTCAATGCTCAGTAGTCAGTAGCCAGTGGACAGTGGGTAGATGTCAATGCTCAGTAGTCAGGAGGCATTGGAGTGTGGGTAGATGTCAATGCTCAGTAGTCAGTAGCCAGTGGACAGTGGGTAGATGTCAATGCTCAGTTGTCAGGAGGCATTGGACAGTGGGTAGATGTCAGTGCTCAGTAGTCAGTAGCCAGTGGACAGTGGGTAGATGTCAATGCTCAGTAGTCAGTAGGCATTGGACAGTGGGTAGATGTCAATGCTCAGTAGTCAGTAGCCAGTGGACAGTGGGTGGATGTCAATGATCAGTAGTCAGTAGGCATTGGACAGTGGGTAGATGTCAATGCTCAGTAGTCAGGAGGCATTGGACAGTGGGTGGATGTCAATGCTCAGTAGTCGGGAGGCATTGGACAGTGGGTAGATGTCAATGCTCAGAAGTCAATATGCATTGGACAGTGGGTAGATGTCAATGCTCAGTAGTCAGTAGCCAGTGGACAGTGGGTAGATGTCAATGCTCAGTAGTCAGGAGGCATTGGAGTGTGGGTAGATGTCAATGCTCAGTAGTCAGTAGCCAGTGGACAGTGGGTAGATGTCAATGCTCAGTAGTCAGGAGGCATTGGACAGTGGGTAGATGTCAGTGCTCAGTAGTCAGTAGCCAGTGGACAGTGGGTAGATGTCAATGCTCAGTAGTCAGGAGGCATTGGAGCGTGGGTAAATGTCAGTGCTCAGTAGTCAGGAGGCATTGGAGTGTGGGTAGATGTCAATGCTCAGTAGTCAGGAGGCATTGGAGTGTGGGTAGATGTCAATGCTCAGTAGTCAGTAGACATTGGACAGTGGGTTGATGTCAATGCTCAGTAGTCAGTAGGCATTGGACAGTGGGTAGATGTTAGTGCTCAGTAGTCAGTAGCCAGTGGACAGTGGGTAGATGTCAATGCTCAGTAGTCAGGAGGCACTGGACAGTGGGTAGATGTCAATGCTCAGTAGTCAGTAGGCACTGGACAGTGGGTAGATGTCAATGCTCAGTAGTCAGTAGACATTGGACAGTGGGTAGATGTCAATGCTCAGTAGTCAGGAGGCATTGGACAGTGGGTAGATGTCAATGCTCAGTAGTCAGTAGCCAGTGGACAGTAGTACGTAGTTTGAGCTAATTGTAATGATGCATATCCCAACAGCACGTCTTCATTTCCCAATGGCAATCTCTCTTTTTACTGGTTATGTACTTTGTGTTAATTTTGATCGTGCATTTAACAAGACTTAAGCTGTTTGAGAATTAAATTATTATGATTCGGTATCACATTATACAGAAATATTGATGAGCAAATACAATATCATCACGGTGTGTAAGAAAGCAATCACATATATGAGCATATATTTATTAGCCACGGTTAAAATACAGCCATGTTGACTCGGGTTACAATTTCATTGTTCTTTACTCTGGTATACAGTCACATCTTCAGAATCCAAATACCCTCTGAAACCATAGTCACATCATCATCCTATTTCACTCACATTATGCTTCTGTGCATAATCAGGGGATTAAGTGACACGGATCTCCACCCTCCATGACGCAGAGAGTCACGATTGTTGACATGTCTCTTAAATTCACCGCATTGTATTGACAGGTGTGAATGAATCCGCTTGCGTTTGTCCATTTCTACCTGTAAACGACCTACATGAATATATTCGACCTTTCACTTCCAGATGAGCCACAAGATATGTCATCTTCTGTATCAGTGCAGGGCATCAAACAATAATGAAGATGCGGGTCAACATTGTGTCTAATAATGTTATCTTTTTCGAAGCCATTGGTGTAGTTTAAGATTGTATGTAGTTGCTGGATGAATATACGGTTTTAAGTATACCGTGGACGGGCTAAAGTTAATGTCCTCCAGTTTGAACTCTTGACATCCAAATGACAATCATGCTCATGCATTATACAACAGGTGACAAGGCAATTGTGTTCGGGTATAAAACTACGGATGACATGGCAATGGTACTCGGTTATTACACAGCAGGTGACAAAGTAAAAATGATCAGGTACAACACAACAGGTGACAAGGTACTGGTGCCCAGGTACACCACAACAGATGACAAGGCACTGGTGCTTAGGTACTACACAACAGGTGACAAGGTAATGGTGCTTAGGTACTACACAACAGGTGACAAGGTAATGGTGCTCAGGTACAACACAACAGGTGACAAGGTACTGGTGCTCAGGTAAAACACAACAGGTGACAAGGTAATGGTGCTCAGGTACTACACAACAGGTGACATGGTAATGGTGCTCAGGTACTACACAACAGGTGACAAGGTACTGGTGCTCAGGTACACCACAACAGGTGACATGGTAATGGTGCTCAGGTACAACACAACAGATGACAAGGCACTGGTGCTTAGGTACAACACAGCAGGTGACAAGGTACTGGTGCTCAGGTACAACACAACAGGTGACAAGGTAATGGTGCTCAGGTACAACACAACAGGTGACAAGGTAATGGTGCTCAGGTACACCACAACAGATGACAAGGTACTGGTGCTCAGGTACAACACAACAGGTGACAAGGTAATGGTGCTCAGGTACTACACAACAGGTGACAAGGTACTGGTGCTCAGGTACACCACAACAGATGACAAGGTACTGGTGCTCAGGTACACCACAACAGGTGACAAGGTAATGGTGCTCAGGTACAACACAACAGATGACAAGGCACTGGTGCTTAGGTACAACACAGCAGGTGACAAGGTACTGGTGCTTAGGTACTACACAACAGGTGACAAGGTAATGGTGCTCAGGTACAACACAACAGGTGACAAGGTACTGGTGCTCAGGTAAAACACAACAGGTGACAAGGTAATGGTGCTCAGGTACTACACAACAGGTGACAAGGTAATGGTGCTCAGGTACAACACAACAGGTGACAAGGTACTGGTGCTCAGGTACACCACAACAGGTGACATGGTAATGGTGCTCAGGTACTACACAACAGGTGACAAGGTACTGGTGCTCAGGTACACCACAACAGGTGACAAGGTAATGGTGCTCAGGTACTACACAACAGGTGACAAGGTAATGGTGCTCAGGTACAACACAACAGGTGACAAGGTACTGGTGCTCAGGTACAACACAGCAGTGACATGGTAATGGTGCTCAGGTGCAACACAACAGGTGACAAGGTAATGGTGCTCAGGTACAGCACAACAGGTGACAAGGTAATGGTGCTCAGGTAAAACACAACAGGTGACAAGGTAATGGTGCTCAGGTACAGCACAACAGGTGACTAGGTAATGGTGCTCAGGTACAACACAACAGGTGACAAGGTAATGGTGCTCAGGTACAGCACACCAGGTGACAAGGTAATGGTGCTCAGGTAAAACACAACAGGTGACAAGGTAATGGTGCTCAGGTACAGCACAACAGGTGACTAGGTAATGGTGCTCAGGTACAACACAGCAGTGACATGGTTCTGGTGCTCAGGTACAACACAGCAGTGACATGGTACTGGTGCGGGGGTGCAACACAACAGTGACAAGGTACTGGTGCTCGGGTAAAGCACAACAGGTGACAAGACATTGTTACATAATTACAAGATACATGTGCTCACGTATTATACAACAGGTATAGGTTATAACTCATGTGTTTAGTCCCATCAATCAGGTATTATGCAAATTGATCACTTTGTCAAACAAAACTGACATCCTCAAAGCAAACACGAGGAAACTGATGAAAGTGTTCAGTGATGCTTCTTGTGGCAAGTGAGAATCAAACACCTACGCACTTTCTATACAAGGTTGATGTATACTAACACGGACATTGCACACCAAATCATCCCAGGCAGTCTGTTAACGCAGCAGGTTTCAATTGCATGTTGGTGATGGTGGAAAGTCGCATCGCTTGATGGTATCATACCATACAGTCCCTCCTCCACAGAGCCTTTCAAAGAGACCGTTAACCGTGCACTCGACGTACTTGTCGCAACCTGCGCATGATGGAAAGCTCCCGAGGCGATCAGCACAGTCGTCCGACACACAGGCATCTGGAACAGTGCATCATCTTTTAGTATTTTCTCTCTAAAGTATATAGATTTCTACAATGTTAGAATTTTTAAGTAACATATATAATGGATTGTTACATTGAAATCAGACTGAATGAGTGAGAATATGGGTTTGGTTGAGCGCAGCTTATGACCGTGTGTGAACTTGATGTGGTAGGCAAGCGCTGGTGCTGACCAACCATGACACAGAATCAGGGCGTACAGGGACTAGAACCCTCGATCATCGAGGTCGGACGCCTTGTATACATACACAATGGAAGAGCTTAACTCAGCAGCCTCCTAACATGGTAGGGATGTCATCTGCGGGATGACTCCATTCCATGCCCTGCTACATACTTTCCTTCAATAGAAGTCCGCAGAGTTGGGTACTGAGACTAATTGTGGTCAAATTTGATATGAACGTGCTGAACCCAACGTGTGTGTGTGTGTGTGTGTGTGTGTGTGTGTGTGTGTGTGTGTGTGTGTGTGTGTGTGTGTGTGTGTGTGTGTGTGTGTGTGTGTGTGTGTGTGTGTGTGTGTGTGTGTGTGTGTGTGTGTGTGTGTGTGTGTGTGTGTGTGTGTGTGTGTGTTGTATGTGTGGCGTGTGTAGGATCATTGCTTACGTGATGAAGTTCCAGTAGGTTGCTCTGTGTTGACTTGCCTAGTTGTAGTGGCCACAGTAGTAGTTGCTGCAGTTGTAGTGGTTACTTGAGATGGTTCTGCTGTAGTTGTCACAGTAGTAGGTGCTGTAGTGGTAGTCGTCACGGTAGTAGGTGCTGCAGTGGTAGTTGTCACAGTCGTAGTTGCTGCAGTGGTAGTTCGTTTATTAGCAGTGGTCACAGTAGTAGGTGCGGCAGTGGTAGTCACAGTAGTAGGTGCTGCAGTGGTAGTCGTCACAGTAGTAGTTGCTGCAGTGGTAGTTGTCACAGTAGTAGGTGCTGCAGTGGTAGTTGTCACAGTAGTAGGTGCTGCAGTGGTAGATGTCAGAGTAGTAGATGCTGCAGTGGTAGCTGTCACAGTAGTAGGTGCTGCAGTGGTAGCTGTCACAGTAGTAGATGCTGCAGTGGTAGTTGTCACAGTAGTAGATGCTGCAGTGGTAGTTGTCAGAGTAGTAGGTGCTGCAGTGGTAGTTGTCACAGTAGTAGATGCTGCAGTGGTAGATGTCACAGTAGTAGGTGCTGCAGTGGTAGTTGTCACAGTAGTAGGTGCTGCAGTGGTAGTTGTCACAGTGGTAGGCCCTGCAGCAGTAGCTCGTTCAGTAGTTGTGGAACCTGTCACTGTGTTCATTGATGTAGTCAGCAGATCAGTTGTCAAAGATGTGGATCCTACAGTAGTTAGTGTAGTGGACGCAGACGCAGACGCAGACGCAGACGCAGCTGTAGATGCACCAGTGAGCTGTGATGTAGACTGGCCAGTGGATGGTACATCTGTCACTTCTTGGTGTGCACAAAAAAGACAAAATCCAAATTGTTATCTTTCCAATGGTATGGGTACTTTTGATTTTGCTTGTTTAACAATTTGACCTTGAATGTGCCAAACGTTTATGTTTAAACGAATGACGTATGCCCTAATGGGGAGTCATCTAAGCATATATAACTTATACCATCTGGTCCGCGGCCAGTTCCAAACAAACGGAAAGTGTGTTTCACAATATTCAAAAAACATTTCGCAGAGGTTTAGCGTCTCTTTCCATGTGTGTAAGGGAACAAATATATCATGGCTAACGTGCAGTGACTGTAAAACACACTAAAATCATATTATGTCACTAAGATATATGTACACACGCCAAAGCTTAACGCCGCTTTGAGCAATGCTCCAGCAATATCACGTTGGGGGACACCAGAAATGGGCTTCACACATTGTACCCATGTGGGGAATCGAACCCGGGTCTTCGGCGTGACGAGCGAACGCTTCAACCACTAGGCTACCCGACCACGCCCACTAACCTGGGAACTATATATTATGAGGTTGTTCTTTGGTCTAGTTAGTCTAATTTAACCTCTCATGTTTGAAGTATATCGTCGTTGACATAATACCTCAAAATTATACAATAACAAATGGTGTTCAAATTAGAGGTATCAAACAAACAATAACGTACCTCCGACTTGTGTAAAAATAGGTTTGGCTGCTAATGCACCATCGCTTACCTCCATGCAGACACAGGTATCCCGTGACTGCCTTCGTTGGCACACACGTCTCATCTAAAGAACATGGTCGTCCCCCACAGGGGTGGTCAAATTTCTGACAACAAAACATGAATTATTATTAAATATCAAAAGGCATTGTGAATACCTTGACGAAAGAAAGAAACTAAAACTGTCCAACCGAGGCTCACCCTCAACATCGATTGTCTTTGAGTACAATTTTAGTAAATAAAAATTGAACTATCATGTTGTCGTGCATAAGTATTCATGTTTCACTGTCCGGGAAGCCTCCATCAATTAGTTCTAAAATACGTTCCCATAAATCACTAAATAAAAGCTCGACACAGAACGGCAAGCATCAGCAGTCGTCAATACACCTATACCAGTTCTCCAAGTAGAATTGATCTGGTGCATCCAATATTCATATTTCGATTATAATGCAACGTTTTTCACAATACAACTGCCTGTTTTTAGGAGTCAAAGTCATGTCAACAACACAGAGTTCAGCACCAGTCTGAATACCTTATGAAGTAATTTGTGATTGATTTTGCAAGATACACTGGAGGTAGCAACGACCTGTGACGTCAGCCTAGCAAGGGAATTGCTGTGGTCATCGAGTTTGCATAAGCTCCTGTCAGTGATCTATCATCTCCAAAAGCAATGTCATTAAATAAACCTAGCGATGTTGAGAGTTTTCAAATGTGTTTACTAAATATAGTCTGTGTAGTTTATGTCAAACGCATGTTTATGAAAGCATTTTCTTTTTAAATATATTAGTTTTGTTTTCGGGGCTGTACCTTCTCAACCTTTTTTCAAACATGAGAGCCGAAGCTTCAAAGCTTGTGGAGGGAGCAGGATGAAGTGGATTAATTCTGAACATATTGGCCTGGAATTTCCAACCAAACCACTTTCACTGGCCTAAACATGATTCAAAGTGACTCACCCTTGTGGCATCGGGAGCAATGGCTATGCCTTCCAAGCCCCATACTGTGATCAAAATAATCCTTAAAGTGTCCCCTTTCACAAGTTTTAACGAATGATTAGGGCTGATTTTTTTCGCTCGTTGGCATTTTTTGTTTTCACATAATCAAATCAACGAATTCTTAAAATAGTCTATCATACGTGCCTACTCGTGTACTCAATGTCTGACGCCTAAAACCATTTAATGTAATCTTATTCAAATATGTCAATGCTTGATACTATTGATACAACTTAGTTTATATAGTTCTTTCAACTGAATCAGTACCATCCCAGCACAGAAGCTGATCTGTTACGATAAAAGGCTTATATAACAATGTTTTGAGACACAAACAAGTGATGATAAAAATAATTGGACAAAACTAGATAATAAATAGGATAAAAAATATAAAGCTACATACCAGTCCCAGGGGAGCCATGGCGTCCGAGTATACATGATGCCGGCTGACAGAGAAGGAGGCAGGTGAGGTGTTCCTGGTGTCTCTGCTGAGCTGACACAAGCCTGTCCCTGTAGCCCAGGTGTAGGCCCTGCACGGAGTGGAGTACCAGCACAGAGACTGACACAGCGTGAAGCTGGGGACGCGAGTCTCTTTGAAAACACCGGACACGAGTTGTCCTGAGATGACCGTGTGTCCATTCCCTTGAACTGCCATTACTAGAATGTACAGAACCACCAGTAACATGTTTATAGCTCAAGTGATATACACGAAGAAATATGGCAGTCAGTTAGGATGTTCCCGTGAGTATCAATCAGTGTCGCCAGTGACAATGCATAACACATGACGAAAGCAACTATATACCCTGAAGCCATATAATGACTATTGATAATCCTGGAACATAATTGATGTTTGGTTTGTTGGTTTGTTCACTCATAACATTAAATTTTAAATTACCTGTTAACTGCTTCAATACATCCACGGATCTCTGCCTTCTCACTTGAATTATCTTAAGAAAATCAACTGCTTTCAGACAAATTTTCGCATTGTTGGTAAACATGTTATCATTAACTGCTCTTGCATTTCCAATTATAAGAACAGACCTCACTTTGCCCTGAATGGAACAACTATTGTTCTCCTCAGCCTATGAGCGCCCATCATCATGCCCTTTATAATCAGTATCAGTAGCAAAGAGTGTTGTTTTCAAAAATGATTGTCATGTGCATAACTATTAGGTACGAATATAATAATAATAATAATAATAATAATAATAATAATAATAATAATAATAATAATAATGTCAGTTTTGTCTTAGTTATACAAAGAAGATGTTTCTCGGCAGAACGGAGGGATCTACATGGTAGGAAGGTGCTGACTGGTTATAGCCGTGGTACGTTAAGGTCAGGATCAGGTGCAGATCGATAAACACGGGTGTAAAATAAGGCTGACCGTTTGGTTCTTGACACAATCTTTGATGCCGTGCTTTGTCCTTCCAATACGTTGTACTGTCTTGGACGTGATAATATCGTCCACAAGTAACGAAGCGCGGGGACATTTCTGGTCAGCGATTTTGGCAGCAGTAAACATTTTAGCATTATTTGAAAGAAGAGGCGTGAGGGAGGGAATTTTTAATACTCAGTTTCCATTAGTTGAAGTTTTTAGGTTCTGTATAAATATTACCTCGAAGGCTATAATCCTGAGGGAACCAAACAAATCACAATAATATGATACTCGGTATTTCTTAATGGCCTCATTCAACACTTTGTGAACACCAGTGAATTCACGGCTATGCAACATTCTGGGGCATGGCTTCATGTGCATTGAGATTGTAAAACTCTGCCACATGCTAGAGACACCCTTGAACGATTTGATTATAAGAGTTAATGACTGATCCCTGAAAGAAATGTGAAATGTGGCGCCCACTCTCCCCGTTGGCTGGTGTAAGGTGAAATGAGGTTCGTGTGTGTGTGTGTGTGTGTGTGTGTGTGTGTGTGTGTGTGTGTGTGTGTGTGTGTGTGTGTGTGTGTGTGTGTGTGTCTGTGTGTGTGTGTGTGTCTGTGTCTGTCTGTCTGTCTGTCTGTGTATGTGTGTGTGTGTGCGTGTGTGTGTGAGTGAGTGAGAGAGATAGATAGATAGATAGATAGAGAAAGAGAGAGAGAGAGAGTGAGAGAGAACTTGTGCTATTCCAGTCTTATGCTGATTACATAGTGCCTGCCAGCCCACTGAGATATCATGCTGTAGTTTGACATGTTTACCTCAGACAGAATATACAGACCAATCCTTGTTTTATCTCCTTTATTCCGAGCGCCAGCAGGGTAACAACAAGTACCATAACCTAACGTTTTTTTCTACGAGGCTACCAGGCGACGGAGCACGTTATACCACCCGCTCCTTTCTTTTAAATATCATTGAAAACAGGTAATGCTTTTAATACCTTGGTCTGCAAGGCCACTATTCCTATTATTAGTTATTTTCAACATTTTGGCCAACCAAACAATATTATTCCTATAATTATAGGCACATGAATAAACGTATCACAAAATTCATACATTTAGCTTGGACTTCAAGATTTAACTTTTTCCTCTAGTTACAGGCAGATGAATAAATACATCAGTGATTTCCTATGTGTATCATCTTCTACAAGAGTATACTCTTCCTATAATTATAAGCCGATGAATACATGCTTCGGGATTTCCTATATGTATCATCTTCTACAAGAGTATACTCTTCCTATAATTATAAGCCGATGAATACATGCTTCGGGATTTCCTATATGTATCATCTTCTACAAGAGTATACTCTTCCTATAATTATAAGCCAATGAATACATGCTTCGGGATTTCCTATATGTATCATCTTCTACAAGAGTATACTCTTCCTATAATTATAAGCCGATGAATACATGCTTCGGGATTTCCTATATGTATCATCTTCTACAAGAGTATACTCTTCCTATAATTATAAGCCGATGAATACATGCTTCGGGATTTCCTATATGTATCATCTTCTACAAGAGTATACTCTTCCTATAATTATAAGCCAATGAATACATGCTTCGGGATTTCCTATATGTATCATCTTCTACAAGAGTATACTCTTCCTATAATTATAAGCCAATGAATACATGCTTCGGGATTTCCTATATGTATCATCTTCTACAAGAGTATACTCTTCCTATAATTATAAGCCAATGAATACATGCTTCGGGATTTCCTATATGTATCATCTTCTACAAGAGTATACTCTTCCTATAATTATAAGCCGATGAATACATGCTTCGGGATTTCCTATATGTATCATCTTCTACAAGAGTATACTCTTCCTATAATTATAAGCCAATGAATACATGCTTCGGGATTTCCTATATGTATCATCTTCTACAAGAGTATACTCTTCCTATAATTATAAGCAGATGAATACATGCTTCGGGATTTCCTATATGTAGCATCTTCTACAAGAGTATACTCTTCCTATAATTATAAGCCGATGAATACATGCTTCGGGATTTCCTATATGTATCATCTTCTACAAGAGTATACTCTTCCTATAATTATAAGCCGATGAATACATGCTTCGGGATTTCCTATATGTATCATCTTCTACAAGAGTATACTCTTCCTATAATTATAAGCCGATGAATACATGCTTCGGGATTTCCTATATGAACCTTTCTCAGCAAGATTTAACTATTCCTATTATTATAAGCAGAAGGATAAACACATCAGTAATTTAGTACATGCACATATAACTGCAAGATCGAATGATTCCTGTAAACCAAGTACAAACTATGGCCCGCCAATATATACTGATAGATGCAGCCTGGACTGTGGACCCGCACTGCACTCATGTTTGGTTGAAGAGAAGTTCATGCTAATGTATTAATGTAGCCTATCAATGTGAAGGGAATCTATTTACACGTCAGAGTGCAGTCAGTAGGGGGTATTTTGTCAGGTGTAGGTGAGGCTTAAGAAGTCTTACACAAGGACATCAACTACAGCAAGACTTTCCAGTAATTGAATATTGATTGTGACGAGACTCTCAAGTTGTCAGTTTCTGACATTTGTTCATGCTCAGTGAAGATAGTTGCTTATTTCGTCCCCTAACGTTGGCATATGTGGATTAGTACCGAATCCACCTTGACGAATCTGAATGCACAGTTTGGCACAGACCTTTTTCACCCTTTCGTCATCTTGGATCGAAAACGAGACTTGGGGTGTTCAGTTCCATGCAGAGTGAGTTGCATCTGCTGATTGGGAGCAGAGAGTGTGTTGTGATTCCATCATTTCAATATGTATCATCACATTGTATCCAAAAAGTCGAATGCAGAAGAAATTGCATAGTTACCGCTGAGGAAAATAATCAGTTATTTGTTTAATTTCAATATGGCAATAGATTAATTAAGGTAGCAGTCTTGGTCTGTAGAAGTTGAGTGTCAAATCTACTAAAAAAATACTCAAATACTCTTAGCTAGTTCCAGGAGACTGTGTGTGTGTGTGTGTGTGTGTGTGTGTGTGTGTGTGTGTGTGTGTGTGTGTGTGTGTGTGTGTGTGTGTGTGTGTGTGTGTGTGTGTGATCATCTACATCTAATTAAGTCGTTACCATGGTAACGACGAGAGTTAAACTGTGGTAGCTGGTGGGTATTGCAACACACAACCTTCCAATTGTCGGTATTCTTTCGCGTCTGGTGAGTAGTGTACATACTCCTATGTGAGAGTTCATCTATATATTTTTCTTAAACGTTCAAAAGCCACATCAGAGGACATGGCAGTTCTAGCTCTGCTCAGATCTCAACATTAAAGTCATGTCAGGTAGTTGATTAGTTCTTGTATCGGTTAGTCTCATCCCCGCCTATGTCTGTGTGGCATAAGATGTCACTGACCAAGGCCCAGACATCGAACAAATGCAACACCACGACATACCTTTATGCAGCCACACAAACCACAATGAGCTTTGCAAAGCATATTTATTTTCATTAAGGTAATCACAAATGGTAAATCAACAGAAACACCAGTGCTGCTTGTCATACACAGTGGTTGGAGGTTGCATGGACAAAGACAGTGAAGTAAGTTAGTGTAGAGGTTGACGTCAGTTCCGAACTTCAGAGGGTATGTTACTACAGTATTGAAAGCCAGGCTTCAATAACAAAGGTTAAGGCATTCCGTTAATCAGAGTTTCCCGAATGCATAACGTCAGGTGTACAGTAAACTATGGTTATAACGAACACGCTTATAACGAACTAACGGATATAACGAACTAACTTTTTAGTCCCGACTATATGCTGTAGTTATGCTGTATATATGCTTATAACGAATTACGGTTATAACGAACTAAAATTAGTAGTCCCTTTGAGTTCGTTATAACCGTAGTTTACTGTACTTTAAATGGTTTCCGGCATGTGGGGGATTATTTTAGGGTTGGCAGATTTGACAGGCCTTTCCTCCCTCGATTGCTATAGATCCACAGCTGACAGTATCAGGGTCGTACTGGGTTTGACCCGGACACTGGGTGACGAACATGTTGCCCTTGGTGTCACAATGGATGAATTTAGTGGTGTCAGAGGGGTGGGCGTAGTCACAGGTGTCGCCAGGGGAACAGGGGTTGGTGACATTGTTGAAGGTGTCTGTAACATAAAATACTTGCATATACATCTCAGTGACGTATTTCCTTGAAACAACACGATCACAACTGAAAGGTTTGGAGACAATAAATATGTTTACTTCTCTCTTGAAATATGGCCATTAAGTTGATGAGTCATTATGAATCATACATGGAGAGACAAGAACGTTCATTTTTTGTATTGTGTACAGATATAATAAAAACTGCAGCTGAGAGGGTTTGGGTGATCTTTGCACAGTTTGGCTGGTTAGGCTCATCATCAGCCCAGGGTCCTTGGCCCCTCTACACGCAGCACAGGCAGCGAATGGGACTTCTCATAGGAAGTGCTGCCTCGGATAATGTGAAACTCTGCAGCCTTCTGCATTACCCAGTTTGTCAGAAGGGCTGTATTACTGGTAGCAAACCCGGGTATTTTCCCAATGTCAGACAACAAATTGGGAGGTACCAAACCTAAGGCACTGAGAACAGTGGGGAGTCGGACAACTTGGTACTTGGGTGCAAGCATGACATTTCGAAACCACAAGTATGACGAAGATGGTAACAAAATGATCAATCACTCCATCATGCCGCTTAAGATACTGTGTTTGTGCCCAAGCTGTGCATCCATTGACAATGTGTTGCACAGTCATTAAATTCATTACATAATGTACATTTCATATTTACCTTTCTTATTATTGTTATTATTTATATCATAATCATTGTGTGACCTACCTGTAGGAGGTTGATTAATGTCTATGCTGTAACTGGCGTTGATACAAGAAGCCACCTGCTGAATGGTCAGACGTGTTCCAATCACAGTAATATAGAGTGGTCTCCCTTTCATGGTTTCGTTAAAGTGCATGATACCCGGCCTCCCATCCGTAACACTGTGTCTGACGTCATAGAAGGCGGGTCCAGGACGGGGGGTGTTGTAGGAGGAGTACATTTCTAGGGTACCACACACCACCTTCACAATCTGTGAACACGTTCAAATTAGGTTAGCAGTGATGTTAATGTTTCAAAATTCAAAAGTCTTTGAAATGCATTCAGAAGTGATACACATAAGGAAGAGAATTTATGGACGTCAACTTTTTTTACAAGGAACACAAAGTCTAAAACGTTCATTTCAACAACGTTGAAAAGTATCAGCACCAAGCCACACCTCTAATCGGACTGTCACATTGTGCAGTGAAACAAAAGGAGTCAGCACTGAGACTGCAATCAGTATCTGGAGTGTTCACCCCTCACACGGATGACATTCGAGAGGGGCCTGCTGCTGCTCAGACGTCTCATGTTCAATACTGGGATGCTCTGGCAGTCCTGGCGCAGTGTGGATTCCTTCAGGTCTTCAACCGTGAGGCCCCCAGCTCTCACTTGGCGGCCTACGTACTCTCAGAGGTGTTCATATGAGGGTTTGTCATTAGTTTTCGGAATTGGATTTGGAATCAAGTGATACTTAGTAAATCTTCATATGTATATAATATCCGCCTCCACATACCACTGCTTTGTTTTCGTCGGGGCTGGTGAGGTTACCCTCATTGGTGACAAATGTTTCTTCCACTGTGCCGTTCTCTGGCAGCGGTTTATTAATAGGATGTCCCTCCTCAACAGCAGTTGAAGCTGCAGCCCAAAGTTTTAGCATTGCACAAGGTATGTCCCTTACGTAAAACCAAAATAATATCCATAATCATAAGGAATGTCTACTAAAGGCAGAGTCCATTGTACGATTTCGACTGGATCATGAGCGTGTGTTTATGAATAACTTTCAAACAGCGATGATACTAGGTGTTCGCAAAAAGTCCCGCCCCCTCCCCCCCCCCCCCCCTCCCCCCGGCCCCCATGTGCCATCCGACACAAGCACATGCAAAGGCAAGTCAATTGTTAACCTGAAGAAAACACACCAACATTTCTTACAAAGCACATACCCAGCGACAAGTATTTCGATGTCTACCACTTTGAACATAACGATACAAATGAAACTGAGAGTTGTGATTTACTCTCCGTAATATGTAGCATACACCAGTAGCACTGTGACACTATGGCCTTATGTCATACAGTGTATTTCATGTATCATGTGTGTTGCCGGAACGGAGAATACATTTCACTGCCAGACACACATTTGACATACCTATGAAATAACATTCTAAGAAGTATCCTTTGTGCCACATTTAGAATCGCTCTTGCTTCATAATTTTATGACAACAATTAATAATCTGATACTCATATGACAGAAACACGGATTGACATACAACTGCTTCCTCTCAAACGTTTGCTGCTTGCACAATACCTACAAGTCTAAAGCGACCTACCTCCACACGAACTGTCTTTCAGTTGGTAGAGCAGACTGTCGATCTCCTTAAATGAATTGAGCATGATCACGTGGGTACAGGAAGGATGAGTAGCCACACCCCTCAGCTCAGTCTCGTCAGCGTTTCCTATGCCGACCGATATCATCGTGATGCCGGCCGCTTTAGCCTTCGCAGCAGCGCTGATGGTCGCTGGTTTGTCATTGGACTTGCCGTCGGTCAAAAGGATTGCTACACGCTTGGCATTAGCCCGGGCCCCTGCTGCTGAGCTCAGCAGGACGTTAAAGGTGTGAAGAATGGCAGCAGATGTGTTTGTGCCACCGTTACTCTTACTGATTCTGCCGATAGCTTTCAACAAGCTGCTTTTGGTTGTGTGGTCCTGGAACTTGATGTCATCACCAACCTTGGAAGCATATTCTACGACTGCGATCTTGACTGCATCTTTTGATATGTCCAGTTTAGTGACAACGGCTTTAACGAATTCAATCATACGTTGAAAGTCACGTCGTGAGACGCTTCCCGAACCATCAAGAATGAACGTAAGGTCAAGTTGTGTTCTGCAATCTAGAATGTACATGTTATGATGAATACATATAGTCGGATAGATGGATGGTTTGATTGAGTTGGGTTTAATGCCGCATTTAACAGTATTTCAGTTATATGGATTTGTTTCAGCTTAGTGTGGGAGGAAAGCCGACAAGTGCGGGCATTGTACTGACGGACATAAAAACATATCTCTCGCACACACACACGCACGCATGCGCACACACGCACACACACACTAACATACCAATTCCTTTCATTGCTCTAGCTTTAGTTATGAATCCAGATTGGCTGCCACCAGGTCTCAGCTTTGAGGCCCAGAACGAGGCTTGACTGGCGACGTCACCAGGAGGACTGTTGCTCTGGTTCTCCTTTATGTAGAGGGCAGCTGCCAGGCCGGAATATAGAGGCTTTCTCAGGTCAGCCCAGGATGTACTGCGCCAGTCGATGTTGAAGGCTGACTGGACAATACTACACTCAGCTGCGATGGATGATGGACAAGTCTTTGTCATCAGGAACTTTGATTTATCGACCTGTAAATATTCAAAATGAAAGATGTAATATATATAGTAATAGTGGTAAATAATGAACTCAGATGTCCAAATCACATAACAATTACACTGATCAGTAGGCATTCTTTGAGATATTCTGATGCCACGTTGACAGCGTTTCGCAAACACACACATATGATCAAGGGCTAATGGTCATAGACTGATAAAGTTCTTTTTAAACACTCGTTGTACTTCTGCACCAGAATGGCATGTCCTTCTATTAAGGATTATTTAGAAGCTCTGTCTATTTAATTCAATTAAATGAAAAACTCATATCTGAAACCTTAGCTCTGTGCCCAGCATGAAGTTATTCTGTGATGGTAAATACTGCTGAACACCCAGGTCAGCAGTATCCCAGCTGCATCTTATCGAGTCTGGACCAAAGAAACTATAGGTGATGACGAGCGACGTCAGATGCTGCCGGGTCACACGATGACATGCAATAAACCTGGGTTGACGGTCTGATCCATTTAAGTTTTTCTTACAACAATAGGGTGCTGGTGCACGTTCTGCTTTACTGTTTCATCGGGACATGAAATATCAGTTATAAAATCTATGTTGGAAGGCAGCTTCTGAGTGCATGCCTGTATTTGTGTACACATGGCAATGATGGTTTGTCCTACCTGCCAGATTCCTCCGTCATACCCAGACCTGTAGGTTTTAGAGTCTTTGCCATCGTTAGTCTCCACGTAGGCCAGACGTCGCAGGAACAGTCGGTCGTCACCGAGGATGCACTTGGACCTGATCCTGTCTATGACGGCGTTGACAACATAGCTTCCGGAAACTCCGGGATTCAACGTCAAGTCCGCTCCGCCTGCAGTTCCGAGTGTGCCAGACAGGAACAGTGCCAAAACCAGATACATCTTGTTTACCATTCTGTGAAGTGTATAATATGCTAGGTGTTTACATCCTGAGGAATAACGCTTGATCTTGTTTACATTCTGTGAATTGTATAATATGCTAGGTGTTTACATCCTGAGGAATAACGCTTGATCTTGTTTACATTCTGTGAATTGTATAATATGCTAGGTGTTTACATCCTGAGGAATAACGCTTGATCTTGTTTACCATTCTGTGAATTGTATAATATGCTAGGTGTTTACATCCCGAGGAATCATGCTTGATCTTGTTTACCATTCTGTGAATTGTATAATATGCTAGGTGTTTACATCCTGAGGAATAACGCTTGATCTTGTTTACCATTCTGTGAATTGTATAATATGCTAGGTGTTTACATCCCGAGGAATCATGCTTGATCTTGTTTACCATTCTGTGAATTGTATAATATGCTAGGTGTTTACATCCTGAGGAATCATGCTTGATCTTGTTTACCATTCTGTGAATTGTATAATATGCTAGGTGTTTACATCCTGAGGAATCATGCTTGATCTTGTTTACCATTCTGTGAATTGTATAATATGCTAGGTGTTTACATCCTGAGGAATCATGCTTGATCTTGTTTACCATTCTGTGAATTGTATAATATGCTAGGTGTTTACATCCTGAGGAATAAAGCTTGATCTTGTTTACCATTCTGTGAATTGTATAATATGCTAGGTGTTTCCATCCTGAGGAATCATGCTTGATCTTGTTTACCATTCTGTGAATTGTATAATATGCTAGGTGTTTACGTCCTGCGGAATCATGCTTCATCTTGTTTACCATTCTGTGAATTGTATAATATGCTAGGTGTTTACATCCTGAGGAATCATGCTTGATCTTGTTTACCATTCTGTGAATTGTATAATATGCTAGGTGTTTACGTCCTGCGGAATCATGCTTCATCTTGTTTACCATTCTGTGAATTGTATAATATGCTAGGTGTTTACATCCTGAGGAATCATGCTTGATCTTGTTTACCATTCTGTGAATTGTATAATATGCTAGGTGTTTACATCCTGAGGAATCATGCTTGATCTTGTTTACCATTCTGTGAATTGTATAATATGCTAGGTGTTTACATCCTGAGGAATAACGCTTGATCTTGTTTACCATTCTGTGAATTGTATAATATGCTAGGTGTTTACATCCTGAGGAATAACGCTTGATCTTGTTTACCATTCTGTGAATTGTATAATATGCTAGGTGTTTACATCCTGAGGAATAACGCTTGATCTTGTTTACCATTCTGTGAATTGTATAATATGCTAGGTATTTACATCCTGAGGAATCATGCTTGATCTTGTTTACCATTCTGTGAATTGTATAATATGCTAGGTGTTTCCATCCTGAGGAATCATGCTTGATCTTGTTTACCATTCTGTGAATTGTATAATATGCTAGGTGTTTCCATCCTGAGGAATCATGCTTGATCTTGTTTACCATTCTGTGAATTGTATAATATGCTAGGTGTTTCCATCCCGAGGAATCATGCTTGATCTTGTTTACCATTCTGTGAATTGTATAATATGCTAGGTGTTTACATCCTGAGGAATCATGCTTGATCTTGTTTACCATTCTGTGAATTGTATAATATGCTAGGTGTTTCCATCCTGAGGAATAACGCTTGATCTTGTTTACCATTCTGTGAATTGTATAATATGCTAGGTGTTTACATCCTGAGGAATAACGCTTGATCTTGTTTACCATTCTGTGAATTGTATAATATGCTAGGTGTTTACATCCTGAGGAATAACGCTTGATCTTGTTTACCATTCTGTGAATTGTATAATATGCTAGGTGTTTACATCCCGAGGAATCATGCTTGATCTTGTTTACCATTCTGTGAATTGTATAATATGCTAGGTGTTTACATCCTGAGGAATAACGCTTGATCTTGTTTACCATTCTGTGAATTGTATAATATGCTAGGTGTTTACATCCTGAGGAATAACGCTTGATCTTGTTTACCATTCTGTGAATTGTATAATATGCTAGGTGTTTACATCCTGAGGAATCATGCTTGATCTTGTTTACCATTCTGTGAATTGTATAATATGCTAGGTGTTTACATCCTGAGGAATAACGCTTGATCTTGTTTACCATTCTGTGAATTGTATAATATGCTAGGTGTTTACATCCTGAGGAATAACGCTTGATCTTGTTTACCATTCTGTGAATTGTATAATATGCTAGGTGTTTACATCCTGAGGAATCATGCTTGATCTTGTTTACCATTCTGTGAATTGTATAATATGCTAGGTGTTTCCATCCTGAGGAATCATGCTTGATCTTGTTTACCATTCTGTGAATTGTATAATATGCTAGGTGTTTCCATCCTGAGGAATCATGCTTGATCTTGTTTACCATTCTGTGAATTGTATAATATGCTAGGTGTTTCCATCCCGAGGAATCATGCTTGATCTTGTTTACCATTCTGTGAATTGTATAATATGCTAGGTGTTTACATCCTGAGGAATCATGCTTGATCTTGTTTACCATTCTGTGAATTGTATAATATGCTAGGTGTTTCCATCCTGAGGAATCATGCTTGATCTTGTTTACCATTCTGTGAATTGTATAATATGCTAGGTGTTTACATCCTGAGGAATAACGCTTGATCTTGTTTACCATTCTGTGAATTGTATAATATGCTAGGTGTTTCCATCCTGAGGAATCATGCTTGATCTTGTTTACCATTCTGTGAATTGTATAATATGCTAGGTGTTTACATCCTGAGGAATAACGCTTGATCTTGTTTACCATTCTGTGAATTGTATAATATGCTAGGTGTTTACATCCTGAGGAATCATGCTTGATCTTGTTTACCATTCTGTGAATTGTATAATATGCTAGGTGTTTACATCCTGAGGAATCATGCTTGATCTTGTTTACCATTCTGTGAATTGTATAATATGCTAGGTGTTTACATCCTGAGGAATAACGCTTGATCTTGTTTACCATTCTGTGAATTGTATAATATGCTAGGTGTTTACATCCTGAGGAATCATGCTTGATCTTGTTTACCATTCTGTGAATTGTATAATATGCTAGGTGTTTACGTCCCGAGGAATCATGCTTGATCTTGTTTACATTCTGTGAATTGTATAATATGCTAGGTGTTTACATCCCGAGGAATCATGCTTGATCTTGTTTACATTCTGTGAATTGTATAATATGCTAGGTGTTTACATCCCGAGGAATCATGCTTGATCTTGTTTACCATTCTGTGAATTGTATAATATGCTAGGTGTTTACATCCTGAGGAATAACGCTTGATCTTGTTTACCATTCTGTGAATTTATAATATGCTAGGTGTTTACATCCTGAGGAACCATGCTTGATCTTGTTTAGATAATAATGATAATAATAATGTGTGTACTTCTATGGCGCTAGCCTCCCTACACTCGGTGCATGCGCACAGTGCCAACATTATTAAGTGTCCTCGATTTTCATTCTCAGCTCCCTAGGAAGTATACAACACAGGCTGCCTTGTCAGGCGCTGTGAGGTCACAGTCACATTACCATCCTGCTGTGTGAACAGAGACATATATTGACCAAAGTCGCCTTGGTTTGTCATGACTACGTGCTAAATAATGAAACCACGCCAAACCCAAAGAAGACATGAGGTCAGTGACATGCTAGTGGTTAATATATGACACTTTATTATGGACAACAACTTCTTTAGTGTGTATAACTACAAACGTTTCCCTTCGCTCTGAATGGCTAACTGTGTCATTGTTTCCATTCACGTTATGAATGTAATGTTTTAACCAGTGAAGATGACACCATTTGTTTATTGCGTCATGCAAGATTTTCTGTGACGTCGTTTTAGAAATATACTCACTGAGTTAATGTCTTCCTTGAGATTTAGCCACACCCCTCAATTTCCCCCAATTTCCCTGAGATTTAAACAAAATACTTTTTTTCTACGGTTGCCTAAGAAACAAGACAATGGGTGATGTAAAAAACAATCGCTGCCATGTGCCAACTTGTGTCGTCCTACAGTCGCCCTACCGTAAGTTAGGTAATTCTAGACGAGATCGCATGGTAATTCCAGGACAGCACACGTAATAATAGCATCTTCAGTTACGTAATGTCGCTGTATTGATCAATATAGCCCCGCGTTGTGGTGTTGCTCTCATTATATCGCTGGCTCATTATGTCGCAATGTAGTACTGCAGTGTCCTACTGTCGTTCATGTCTCCCTCATTCCTTACGTAGGTTTTTATGCAAATGATGTGAGTGGCGGGTGTGAGTGGCGGGTGTGAGTGGCGGGTGTGAGTGGCGGGTGTGAGAGGCGGGTGTGAGTGGCGGGTGTGAGTGGCGGGTGTGAGAGGCGGGTGTGAGTGGCGGGTGTGAGCGGCGATGTGAATGGTGGGTGTGAGTGGCGGGTGTGAGTGGCGGGTGTGAGTGGCGGGTGTGAGTGGCGGGTGTGAGTGGCGGGTGTGAGTGGCGGGTGTGAGTGGCGGGTGTGAGTGGCGGGTGTGAGTGGCGGGTGTGAGGGGCGGGTGTGAGTGGCGGGTGTGAATGGCGGGTGTGAGTGGCGGGTGTGAGTGGCGGGTGTGAGTGGCGGGTGTGAGTGGCGGGTGTGAGTGGCGGGTGTGAGGGGCGGGTGTGAGTGGCGGGTGTGAATGGCGGGTGTGAGAGGTGGGTGTGAGTGGCGGGTGTGAGGGGCGGGTGTGAGTGGCGGTTGTGAGCGGCGGGTGTGAGCGGCGGGTGTGAGGGGCGGGTGTGAGTGGCGGTAGTGAGCGGCGGGTGTGATTGGCGGTTGTGAGTTGCGGCTGTGAGTGGCGGCTGTGAGTGGCGGCTCTGAGAATGGCGGGTGTGAGTGGCGGGTGTGAGCGGCGGGTGTGAGTGGCGGGTGTGAGTGGCGGGTGTGAGTGGCGGGTGTGAGTGGCAGGTGTGAGTGGCGGGTGTGAATGGCGGGTATGAATAGCGGGTGTGAGTGGCGGGTGTGAGTGGCGGGTGTGAGTGGCGGGTGTGAATGGCGGGTG